CGCCATTAAACAATAGATAGAGGTCATGAATAAAATGCATAAAATATTGTTGAGTAAATTTGAGTATGCAAGTAGGTGTACGCACTGCACAAATACAAAAACTTAAACTGAAATAACAACAATGTTGAACGCTAAGAACTTGTAAAGCCAACACCTACATTGGGCACAACTACATCTGCATACATACATACATAAATACACACATATATGTAGCTATACATAAACAATGTGGGTTAAATTGTGCAATCCGAAACGATAGTAGGTTGTAAGTGGGTGTAAAACACGAACAATAACAACAAAAACAATGAAATGCATTTGCATTGTTGACGGCGATTGAAAGCGTTCAAGTAACTGAGAAAAGCTAAAGAAGCGCATAGAACAATGAAAAATATGTATACAATAGATGAAATGATTTATTCTAAGTACTTTTTGTGTAAACAAAGTAAATAAATACAGCGGCAACAAAGCTAATGTGAGGGGGTAAAAAGGTTTGAATGGGATCACCGTTAGCGTGGCTGTAAGTCTCGGATAATAATCTTACCCTCTCCGAAGCACCAACAACCAAATATAAAATATTAAATCATATTACTGAGAACCCAAAGCTTCTGTTATAATGTCATTTTGAGAGTTTATAAATGTGTATATACATATGTCTAAGGTACGTATGTATACGTACATACATATGGGCGTTTACATATCTAACTTATTTACAGGCCGATTTAGTTGCTATTTATAATATTTACTGGCTATGTAAGCAGAAATATTTTTGCCAAAAATAGTCNCCCGTATTTATGCTCTGATTTGTTTCACATTTGGCATGTTTAGTTGAAACGTAGTATTTGGGGCATAGATTTGCAAGAAATGGAACGGCTGGTGATGCTGATGTCCAAGTAAAAAGTACGCTCGATATAAAATGCATGTTTTCTTCCCGTTAAAAAGTCTATATTAACAAAATCTTTTTAATGGAAATTTGAGTAACATATCGCCGGGTAACGTCACGTCAGATAGTTTAGCTGATTATACATAAAGCAGAAAAGATTTATACATTTAAAAACTTGGAAAATTAACCTTAAACATTATTACAACAAAAACTTGTACACAAATATTCTTGCACAATTCGCAGAGTTTTGCAATTTTCCAAACTTCGAAGTCAAAATCCACTTTATTTTTTTGTAACGTCACGTTAGTGCGTTTTTTTACTAATATCATTAAATCGCTACTAAAAGCTGTTGTAACTTTTTTTTTACTGAATAAGGGGCCAATTAATTGCTATGCAAACCTAGATAAACCTTTTTAAAAATTTGAGTTGTTCAATATATATATTTTTTTAATTTTGTCATACGAGTGTCAAGTAACGCCAGTTTGGAAATACCCATATATAAATACGCAGAAATATGTACATACATACATATGTACGTACCTAAAAAATTTTGGGAATGAAAATTAAACTCTGGGCTAACATACAATTTTACAGTACCAGGTACTGTCCAGAAAAATATTTTAATCAAAATAAAAAAATATTCTATCTCCCAATTTGCCAGAAAATATTTTTAATCAATTAAAAACTATTGACAACTACCGGACCGCAGATACCATCACAGACGTACAAATGGATAAATGTAGAAAAATACAAGAAGCGGTAGTAATTGGAGTTGTTGTGGTACAATGACTACTTCACGGTGATTTCAAAAATGGAATCGGTTTTTTACCGGATGCCACTTCTCAAAATTCCCGGGTTTTGGTACCGGGTACCAATTTTGATAAATTACTGATACACTTCCTTACATCATCACCTAATCAAAGATAAAGACAAAGATAAAAATAATGATAAATATAATGAAATAGATAAAGACAATGATAACAATAAAGACAGAAACAACAATAAAGATAACGATGAAGTTAAGGGTTAAGAATATGATTAAGGTTTAGCTGATGGCTAAGTTCTTTTTTAAGAGTATACATTCATTTCGATCGTTTTTTGTCACCTTCAAATAATTGATGACGGTAACTATAAATATGATTCAAAGAAATTTTTTTTCAAACAAGTAATTGCTGGCTGCATGTAAAAACATTTTAAAGATTGAAAAATAATTTAGTACAGATAGTGCAAAAGCTCATATAACTGAAATGGAGCATTGAATTATGGAATTTTGCACTTTCATTTGTATTAAACAAGTTTTTAAATTTAGCAAAAATTTACTTTTAAGCAAATAACTGTTACAGACGAGCACTTTAATAATGACACATAAATAAATGCCAAGCATAAAAAGCAAAAGCAGAAAGTGTTGAGAGTGAAAAATAACGTTTGTTTTAACAACAGTTACAAATGTGCTAAAAAAAGAGGATCATAAATAATACAAATCCACTGCGGCATAAACAAGAAAAATACAAAAAATTACATGTCATACATCAACGCCAGCTGCGAATGCGGCCAAGAGTGTAACTGCGAAAGCAGCAGCAGCTTCATAGCGCTAGTGCAGAGAAAAGTAGATTATAAAAAATAGAAGAAACAAAAAATTAAAATAAAAAATAAATAAAAGTGATTGAAAAAAATGAAAGAAAAACAACAAAAATGGCTATACTGATGCCGCCATAGAGCTGCAAAGAAGCGAATTGCAACCAAAAAAAAAAAAAAAAAACAAAAACAAGAAACTAGAAACTAGAAAAACAAACATTGTAAGCTGCAATAAGTGCAAGCGGAATATTTTTTGTGCTCCTTCCATATTGCAACAATCAATAAATCAACAAACAACTTGAGTAACTACGTGTACCACTACACACTTCCAGTGCGCACTCTTTCTCCAGCCAGCCTCCCCTCAGCAACTCTCCAAAACTAGAACGCAAACGTTTTTTTTGGCAAACGCTGCCAATATCGAGCAACGCCACAGCGCGCCACGGCTGCGGGGCTACTACTAGCTTAGCGCCAGCCAGGCAGCCAACCAAGTCAGGTCAGATCAGATCGAATTGTTGTGAGTCCAATTGCTTGTTACAGAATCTTGCGGCATAGAGTAAATGAATAAGAAAAGCAATAATAGGTAACAAAAACAACAACAGCAGCAACAACAAGAAGACGAAGAGGAATACTAAATGTCTGAGTAACAGCTGCAGTTGAGCGGAAAGGGAACAAAAAATAAAAAGTAAACCAACACATTTTACAAACAACAACAACAACAACGCTGCAATAATGTCCGTCCAGTGATATATGTTTTTTATTGTTTCATATTTTTTTTGTAAATTTGGTTGTCGGAGGAAAATCGTTGGAAAAAACACTAAAGAAAAATCTGAGCTAATTTTAGTTTAAGTAAAAGATTGTTGTGAAAAAAGTGTTTTACTTTATTTTTAAAGCAACTAAATACAAAAATAAGCAAAATAAGCAATGCTCCTACGCCTTCAATTCTAAAATTAGTTACGTCAATAAAGCTAAGCACTACTAAAAATACATACACGCATACATACAAGTCGATGGAAATTTTTTTTACAAATTTAGAAATAAAAATTAATAAACTATACGTTTTTATGACGCACAAAAAAAGCTTATAAATTAATAAGCAAAGCATATTCACAAAAAGCGAAATAGAAAATAGTAAGCAAACTTCGACAACAAAAAAGACACGCATACACAGAGAGATTCACTAATAACCAGAAGAAACGACGACAGCCAATTAGGAGCATAAACTTGGGCGCTTACAAAGCAGAGGAAAGAAAGCAACGACGGTGGCAGTGGCGGCGGCGGCGACGGCCATCTATTGCTAGTGGATTGTCTGCTGCTGCTTCTTCTTCTTCACCGCGCCCGCTAAAGTGGAGAGCCCACAGTCTGGCTTACATAAGGCAAGCTAACCGAAGTAGCAAATGACAAGCAAGCATATATATGCTGAGTGAAAGTGTACAACAAGCAAACAAATACAAACGCACGCACCCACGCACATACGAATTCCTTGCCATAGGCAGCACTTGTGCTGGCAAGCCAATTGACATTGTCGCATCATTGTTGTTGTGCGTGGTATTGTGTTAGTGCACTGCTTTGACACTCACCAAGTCGACTATCAACTTTTGTCGTCAACATATGAATTTTTGATGAGCAACAACAAAGCAAAACGGCGCATAACTACGAGTAAAAGTCAAAGCGAGCCTTAGGGCAGCAGCACAGAAAGGCAAACAAAAAAAATGAAATGAAGAAATTACAGCATAAACTTGGAGTATAAAATTTTTAAATACCCAAAGCTATAAAATAATTAAGCACAACAGACAAACGTTGGTGGCTGTACGTACGCTGTGTGTGCGTAGCAGACTGATTGCCGCCCCCACAAAAGGCCAGCACACACAAACAGAGAGAGAGAGAGAGAGAGAAGCAAGGCAGAGCAATATAGCATACAAAGATCTATGTGTCATGAAAGCGCTTTTAGTGCAGGCGTGTTGGCGCTAATTGCAAGTGAGGAAACACACACACACACACACACGCGTGTGCCAGTAAAATTGAAATAGAACACAAACGTTCAGTGGTGGTGGTATATAGTCTAAATAAAGCCTTTAAGGCAGCGTACAACACTCAGGCAGCTGTCAGTGCGTATGAGTAACATTAGTGCAAGGTAATTGATTGCGAATCGCTCAAAAAACACCAACGAGTTATTAGCCGTAAAAAAGGGTAAAGGCGAGTGAACAGTGGGGACGACTACCTGCAACGTGACACTGCCAGTGGTGGTTGTTTCTCGGTTAGTCGTAGGCGTTTTGTTGCCCACAAAAACCCAAACAAAAATTCAGCGACTAATGAGCGAAAAACTTAAGCCATAATTAAGGTATATGAATAATGGACGCACTGAAGAGCTGCTGTGATGCATGAGTGGGGCTTGGGATTATAAAGCGGCGCAATAAGAATAACCTAAGCAGCAGAAGAACGCAGGTATAGAAAGGCAACGCAAAAGTTAGCGACTAGAAAGTATGCCACAGACTGGAAAATCATCCTAAGAGCAGTAAAGGTCCTAGGTTAAGTAGTAAGCGTTTGGCTGAAATCTGAAAATCAGTCGGATTTCAAAATGCAAATAATAAAATACCCATTTTGAGGACGCAACTGTACTACAAATGCAAATAAAAGCACCACAATAGTTTCGAGCAAAATTCAGTTGCAAAACCATAGCGAATTGTCATTCAGTTGACAGCAAATCAACGCAAAATCAAGAGCGGAACAACTGAACAAAAAAAAAAACAACAGGAAAACGAGAGCGAAAACCGTAAATCACACAGAGCAACCAAAAATCTTAGAAAAGCATAGAAAAGCACGCCGCCCACTTTTATATAGAAAAATATAATTCCAATTTATTTCTTGCTTCCTATGCCACAGCAACATCAAATTTGTATGCAGATTAAACCAAAAAGCAAAACCCATAACGAGAAAACTTTCTTAAAATTCTAAACATCTTTTCGATGCGACATATAGAACAAGCGTCAAGAAAAGACAAGCAGAAAAAAAAAAAACAACAACAAAAGAGACGCCTAGACCAGTGTGACGCTAAATCCGAGCAGCGTAATAATAACACCAAAGGCGACAGTGATTGTTGATTTGCGAAGGCAGTAAAAAAAGTAGTAACCGCAAAAGTCCTGACAACAACAACAACAAAAACAATATCTAGCAGTAGCTGGTAACAATTGCAAATAAATACAATACAAAACGTAAAATCGTTGGTCGACTGACACTTTGTCTGCTAAAGCTTTGCGTTTATTGCTTGTGGAAAATAGAACGAAAAAAGCTGCATAAATAAAAAAAAAAATATTGTGGCGCGTCGTCTTGAAAATGCGCTAATTCCTAATAAAGTCGTCAACTTATAGGAGAAAGCAGACAAAACGTAAAAAATAGAGAGCGAAGTTGAAAGTAGTATTAAGCACGTCAACGTACATACACACGCATTATAAAGAGGAGAGCAGAGCGCTAGCTAGGCGCAGCGTTAAAGCTAAGACAGCTATCCCTGTGATATATGAAAATTGCACTGTAACTAACTGGTATTTAAAACATAGCCGTTATATAAGAAAAGAAGTAATAGCAAATAGTATGACTGCAAGTCTATCAGCAAATAATTAGCAAATAAATAAATAAAGGCATACCGACATACAAACCTACATATGAAGCGCTAAGCCAGTCAAAAAAAAAACTCTTCAGCCTCTATATAAATATATAATTACTACTAGTAGAACAGCTGAAAGTTGTACATAATTAATTTAAATAGAAATAAATAAAAATTATTACAAAGTTAAACTTACTCGAACATAAAGTAACTTAATAGATTGCAAAGAAATTTTTAAGCGCTTAAAAAACATTTTAAAAGTTAGTAAATTGCCTTACAACAACAGATCACTTAAGATTATAGAAATAACACTCGTTTATACTTCGTAATTCTGCGTTTATATTTCGTAACACTTCCTTCACACTTCGTATAGCTCTCTTACTCTTCGTTTACACTTCGTGTAACTTCACAACATTTACTTTGGATTTCGTATAGCTTCGCAACACTTCGTATTAATTTGTTACATTCGTTTTTAATTCGTATGACATCGTAACACTTCGTTTATATATTTGCCAACTCCGTAACTCTTCGTCAATCGTCGTTACAGCTCGTAGTTGCATTCGTTAAACTTCGTAACTTCGTACATTAATTACCATTTCACTTCGGCGCTGCGCAACAACTGTTCGTTTATCATCGAAACGCTTCGACGCAGCACTAGAACACTTCGTTCATCTTCATATCACTTTGGCGCCGCGTAACTCTAGACATTGTTAATTCATTCATACTTTTGCTCAACCCATTACCCTTTATCGGGCATAATCAACAACAAAAACAGCAACCATGGGTGATGAATTGGAGGAGCGCACCTTCAAGGAGAAGATGCTCTTCTATACCACTGCCTTCTTCATTCTACTCGGCACATTCAGCATGTTCGCCTTTCTCTTTCTTGTGCCCTTTGTCATCGAGCCCGCATTCACAACGATATTCATGCAATTCGAAGAGGTGCCAGCGCTTTGCGAAACCTACGATGTGGAAACCTATTTCGGCGCCAAGAATTGCTCGTGGGCGTCTTGTCGTGAGGGTTGCACAAAGGATATTTACACTTGTACGCAAATACGCGTCAACTATCGACTGAATTTGTATAATTACACAGATGAATTCAATTTCACTGAATATCACATCAATTTGGCTTGGGCGGAACGTGAATTGCCGCCAGTGAAGCGTACGGATCGCTATGAGCGCGCTATACGCGATTATGATTACGATGCGGCTACGAGTGATGCCGCCAAAGCGAATCAGTTAGAAGGGGCAATGGGTGCGCCAATTGGCGCTGTGGGGTCAGCGTCTGCATCTGCGTCGGCAGCAGCAGCAGCAACAGCAGCAACAGCATCATCATCGGCGGCGGCGGCGGCAGCATCGAGCAACAACCTGCAGCTGGAAACGATCAGCTTTGATGGTGGTTTAGATGGTGGTGGTGGTGCAATTGGTGATGGCACAAGCGGCTATCTCGTCGATGAGGAGGCCATGGATGATGATTTGGGCCTTGGTGGTATTGGTGGTGTGCTCATCAACGAGGAGCGCCAGCCCTTCGATGAGATATCCGAATTGAATGAGGGTCTCATGGGCAATAATTCGATGTATTTTTATGTTGGCGCGCGCCTATTCCCTAACGTTAAGGGTTGCGGCTATCCGCCCATGCTCAATTGCACCATTTGGTTGAAGCGTTACACGAAGATTGGCATCAAATTTCCATGCTACTATTCAAAAGTGGATCCAAGTTTGGTGATAAGCGATTTGGATTATTGGCAGAACACATTAAATCTGATCTATTCGATGGCCATACCGATACCATCGTTCATTATATCGGTGATATACCTGACATATGCGTACTTCAAAATCTATAATGAGGATGAAGAGACGGCGCCGCTCGATAAGAACGCCGAAGATATGGATATTGATGAGGGTGAAGTGGATGAGAGTGATGGCGCTGCGTTGGCAAATAATGTCGCTGGCAGTCAAATCATCAATATGGACTCGACGACGGGTGAGAGTTGTGTGGATGTGGTGCTGCCGAATGGTGGACCCGGTATGACAACCTCAATATCGCAGGGTGGCTCGGTCACAACGCCTGGACAGTATTTGGCGCAATCGCCGGTCGGTTCACAAATGACACCGAATTCCGATATGAACTCATTCGGTCATCAGCTTAAGGTGCAAATGGCAGACGAAATGTCACGCGACTCACTGGAAAATGGTGTGCTGTCGACTTCGAATTCTGTGCAAGGGTAAGTGAATTTTTTTACCAAAGGTTAAATACAATACATATATAAATATTATAAAAAATTGCATGTACTTACATAAGGGTGGTACGTAAAATATCAGCTGAAAAGTTTTGTGTGGGGCAACTCTATATTTTGTTATACGTACAAAATAAAGAGATCCACGAAAATTTCAAAATTGCATGTGCATACATACATTAGGGTGGTACATAAAATATCAGCATCAAAATTTTGTGTGGGTATCCCTTTATTTTGTTATACGTACAAAATAATACCATCCATGAAATTTTCAAAATCTTAAAGAAATTTTTTGTGTCAGAGTTTGAAAACTTCAAATAAAAAAAAAACCCCAAAAATCCGACAAAATATTGGCTTTAAGTCTCATAAATTTAACATATTGGACAATATTCATATAAATTCAGAAGCTCGCTGAGTTATAGCTGGTCAAGGTCAAAATTTTGTTAATTTGTTTGCTCTTTAAAAAAATAATTTTTTCAAACCCTGGTAGTGACCCCTAAATATTTTTTTAATTTCAAAATTTTCTTGGCTGTATTTATTTTGTACGAAAAACATAAACGAGGGATGTCACATCATGTTGATATTTTAAGGACCACCCTATGTACATACAAATTTAAAACTTGTTTTGGTAAACTTTCTTTCTACTTTCTTTACGCTTTTCCCAGATTTCATAGCCTTAAGAAACAGGTTAGTTTCGCTTTTTATTAACCTACAAATATATGTAGCTCTTGGCGCATTATAAGTAAACTTGTGGAGTAATGCTAGAAATAATAAGTGTACATATTGACCATAACTCTTTGAAATCAAGGAGGGGGAAATATTTTCCTTAAGGGCTAGTTTACTTTTTTTTTAAAGATTGAAGTATTAAGTAAGTTAAGTATCGTTGGTTGGGTACCCCAACCTTTTCCCGTGAGGTACCTTTAGGCATTGTCCGATGATTACCAGGACTACAAAGCAGAGAGTAGAGCGGTCAAACCCTGTGAGAGCTATGGGCAGGTTTGCAAAAATTTTTGGCCAAATTTGGCTGGCGCTATAACACGTGGTGTCCGCAGCCCACATGGTATTTCCCTTCTTGACGGGTTTAGCATTTAATTTGTGTTTGCAGGCGGTTAGAGTTACAGAGCGCCAATTTTTACCTGTATGAGCAAAATTTCCTTCGGATATTTTCCTCCCTCTCCTTTCCAGCTCATCGGCTACGTAGTTGACAGAAATGCCCATGCGCCCAGGAACCCATTCAACAGTCAAGGAGGACTTTGATGCCAGCAGGTTGAGAATCGTTCTGCACTCTAGGGCTACTTTGTACTATATTTCCGTTAGATTGAATAACAGCTTAGCTGTCAGAATGTATGTATAGTCATTCTGGAGGAGCGGAAGTTATGTGCGGCCTCCGTTATGGCATACAGCGAAAACTGAGGTTTATTGCTAGTTCACAAATGTAAATCCCACTACTCACGCTTTCGTTTAGCGCGCAACCATCTGTACTAACTATAATAGCCGTCGACCCTGGATTTAAGTCTGTGACTTCTTCCCATTCACTCCTCTCTGGGATTCTCATGAAGAATCTGTTGCTTAGACAGAGTAACGGAGTGGTATAATCTAGTTATCGTAGATTATCCGGTAGAGATTCAAGAACCTTTGTTGCATCGTATTTAACCTGGCAGCATTACAGCCGGCCAAAGATTTGCTGTAGAGATCCACCGATGCAAGATTTAATACTAGTACGGAAGCCGTTCCACCTTGGCTCTGGACAAAGTCTGGTTCAACGCAGGTGACCACTTAGACGAGGATGGAATGGTTATCAGGTATACTGAGCGTTATTAGCCTTCATGGAGATGTCTTCGATGCTGCGCTCCCAATCAAGTTTCCTGTCTAGAATGGCCTAACGTCTCAAAAAGTACCGTAACAAAATTTTTTATACCGAAGGTTACCTGTGAAGGTTTTTGTGATGTATCTCCATAGCATTTTTTCTAACTTCATATACTAAATCCGCAATATGTAAAACTCCGAAGTCTAGATAAATGCGTCCCTGATTTTATTTTATAGCAGTTAAATTTTTACGATATAACAGCTAATATTGTACAAAAAAATCGCATTGCTTGTTATTACTCGCTGTATGTATTGCCATTTGTCGATGTAAAAGTATCAAATTACTGCAGGGAGATTACGAATACAAATATAGATGGCGCATTTAATCATGCCTAACAGTATTATGTCATTCATGAACTTTTCGAACTATTTCAACTTCTTCATCTTCTTACTTAAATATTGACTTTTTGTCAACTCTGATTTTATCATTTACTCGTTCATCTTGATTCAACACAAAAATAATGCTCCTATAATTTTAGATATACACAATTGATATCTATAAATACATGCATAGTTTGTATGTATGCGCCATTTTTGAAATTTTTATACAAAAGGCGGCTCCTACATATAAATCTACACCAATACACTGGACATTCGTAAAGTATATATTTTATTTATCCTTGATTATTGATTTAGTCATGCAACATAGCTAATCATCTGAAGAGCAGTAATCGCATATATATGTACACTATGTACACTATTTCATCAAGGAGTTATTTTCAATTAGATTAGGTTAGGTTAGGATGGCTTCCTCCCAGCATGGAGACCCACATACACAACTAAATTAACTGACCATTATGTTTTCTTTAAGAGGGTGAGGATGCGAAGAAAAAGGAGGAGTGATGGTTGAACGTCAACGCCTAAGGATTAGGGAACAAACTCACCGTTCCAACATTAAAGCTCCGCAAACGATTAATCTTTGCTCCCGAAAGTTTCTCGAAGGCAAGGAAAAAGTGACAACCAAGATGTCAAACCATAGACTCCGGATGGCTGGGCAGCTGAGCAGCACACGTTGAAGTGATTTCACCGCATCATCCCCCAAACCGCCACTGCAGTAGGAGGTTGAGATGATGTTGGTTCTTTTCGCTTGAATTCGGTTTGAAAAGTTACCTATTAGAGCGCCCAGCAGCAAGGTTTTAAGAACTCTATTGACTGTCGCCGGTTAAAACGTGGGCAGAAGGATCTTGCCACTGTGCGTTCTAAGGTTCTCAGCCAAATTGTGGCAGTGAAAAAGTAGTCCCTGGCCAGTCTTGAATATACCATCAAGAAGCTTAGGGCTTTGATTGCCGCTTGAGTATCACAGTATATCGATTTGAAATAACGGCGCAACTCAAAATTTCATATTTTTCAGTAGAGCCAATTAAAGAATTTTTGTTTCCTAATTTTGCAATAATTTGTCTTGGAACGTTATTATTCCGGATTATTTGCAGTCATTCTCTAGGGAAAATTTGTATGCTTTAAAATTGTGACTTATTTCTAAAAATTTAGTTGGTCTGAAAAAATACGAAATATGTAACAACTCCTAAGCAGTTAAACGAAAAAAACTCCACTGGTATTGCAAAACAACGACAGAAAACGAAAAGTGTCGTTATTTCCCATAAAAAAAAAAATCTGGTTCGCCGCATTAAAACGCTCATCGTAAATTCAAGGGAGTGCACGAAATTTATCGGCTGCGGTTATGGTAGAGCAATTTTTGTTCGCGAAATAGCTCTTTGACAGTGAAGTGCCTACATTTGGTATGTTGTGGTTTCACTAAGCCACTTAACCAATGTACGCCGATAAATTGTAAGCGATGTCGCTCAAATAAAATTCGCTCTTACCGAACCGCAGCCTAAGGGTATGTTCTGCATACACTTGCCATTTCAAGAATGTTTCCACTCGAGCTCGCAAGAGCGAACGAGGTGGGGTAGTGCAACAAAATGCAGGTGGACACATCGCCTTATCCTCAATATCGATATACTATGCATTAACAGACAGCATGGTGAGGTAGCTTTCTACCTAATATAAGATCTTAGCGGGCATGGATGCTTTAACGCCTACCTACACCGGAAACACTAGTCCTACTAGTGGTGTTGAGCCAATGCGCTTTGAAGCAATTTCAAGTCACTTCTGCCTTAGTTACACAGAAAGCGCAGGGAAGAACGAGGCGAGGTAAAAACCAGCTACATCAGATTATCGGGCCCTGGTCAATTAAAAAGTCCGTTTTCCTTAAAAAGCTACGTCATGGTGAAAAGCTACTTAAAGGTTGTATCGGGGGGATTGGCACATAAACAAAAGGGGGATTAGTGGACTAAAATAGGCTTTCGGTACTTCTGCCTCTGAAAAAAGTACTTATTGCTAGATTTTTAAGGACTGGTGCCACTTTGGTATAGTAACTATGACCCTATTAGTTTGTCGATGATGAGCTTTAGTCGCTTCCATACATTTTTTAAAGCTCCTCAATGGGTAATGGTAAATGAGTGTAATAAAGGCAATTAAGCTGTTGGTCCTTCAATCAAACCACACACCAGAAGGCTAGAAAAGTAAAAGAGCTGTTATTATATTATATTATAAAAAAAGCCATTAAGAGAAATTTCCGAGTTGCCATTCAATAATATTAGCAAGTATTCCTTCTTTCGCTCAAACTAGCTTGTGCGGTTGTTAATACATTTCATATAACTGACATGCAGTGGATCGGTCACACAAAATTTACGGGGTTTATTCCTTTAAGTCCTTAATGCGTAAGCGTTACAATTTTTGCTTTCCTTTAATGCTTCCATATTAATCGCTTTAATAAAAATATTTCGTGGCTGCCTTCAGATCTGCCATTCAACGCATAAATAATCATACCGAATCTGGTTAAAAATCTTTTTGCATGCCTGTGCCTCCATACGCAATATCAGCGCACTTCAACAAAGTTTTGCATTTCAAAATACCAACAAAACACAATATTGGGAATTACGTTAAGTGTAATGAGCTTACTAAATTGCTCCGTTTGAATACATTCCTCCAATCCAATTATAAGCGAACAATGCGCATACACCAGATGTAATGTATGTATGCGTGTTTGTATGTACATGTGTATGTATGTAAAATAGCTCCCCTGCAGTCGAATGTCCAGGATATTGACGCATTTGCGTCAC